GACAGACAGAGAGACAGACAGACAGACAGAGAGACAGACAGACAGAGACAGACAGACAGAGAGACAGACAGAGAGACAGAGACAGACAGAGAGAGACAGACAGAGAGAGACAGAGAGACAGAGACAGAGAGACAGGGAGAGAGACAGAGAGAGACAAAGAGAGACAGAGAGAGACAGAGAGAGACAGAGAGACAGAGAGAGAGACATAGAGACATAGAGAGAGACAGAGACAGAGACAGAGAGACAGAGACAGAGACAGACAGAGACAGAGACAGAGACAGAGATGGAGACAAAGAGACGAATGCCTACAGGAGGAACTAATGACCAAAAAATTAGTGACTAGATTACACTTGGTAACACATAATAAGGACAAAAATGATTTAGGGGCCAGGGCTTGATCTCACCATTAAGTGTACGTAGATCTCAGCCATTTTCTATGACAAAAACACACACTTCGCTTGCTGAACTAATTGTCTAATCAATTGACATTATTGGAAACACCAATCAAGCAATTTCGTTAACAAGACACAAATTGGTATATTGAGATAATGACAGCACTGCAATGTTAAAAGCTTCCTAATGCATTGTAATTGCAATACAGATTTCTGACTCCTGACTCAACTTTTCAAAAAGTAAACAAGAGGGTATCAAAAAACAGTGTTGCAACCTACAAGTGCAGTATGAAAAGTAAAATAATGCCTGGAATACTAATATCATTCCATCTACCTACTTAAAGTTTAAAGTTTTTATCCATTTAACTTGATGTTGACAACTTTGGCTTTCAAATGTGTTGCATACCCTTCTTGCATTTCTTTTCTTACTAGAGGGTTGTGCCGGGGTGTCCCATAGGGTTATGGCATCTGCATGGTAGTTTAGGATAAGGGTTAAGTTGTGATACATGGTGGGTGCATCTGTTGCACCATGCCACATACCTCTTCAGGTAGCCATCATTTCAAAAGGATCATTTAGGATTCAAAAGGATCATTTAGGATTCAAAACTAAATATAAATGCTACTAAATGGAAAATCCCTTCTCCATACAAGTGATCAATGCAAATACCTATCTCTGTCACCTACCACCATCAATCCTGTTTTCAATGTGCTGTCTCAGTAATGGAACACTAGGATTCCTGAAGTAAGGGTTACAATAGATTTCTTAAATTGTAGGAGTGTGTATGAGAATGACTTATTTGTGTAATGATTATCTGAGATATTACATCAATGTATTTCCTTCAAGATTCTGCCCTTTGAATGTTACTTTATATTTTTCTTTCCTGTTTCATTAAGAACATGACAAAACAAGAAATTGGTTATGACAATTAATTTGATGGTTTATGTTGATCTGATTGCCAATGATCAGTCACGTTTATCTTTCAGGTGAAAATTGTAAAGCATACGTTCAGCATTTTCAAGAATTTTTTTGTGATGTTAATTCAAACAGTTGGAAGTTTTATTATGTAAAGAATGAAAATATAATGGCAAAAACTGTTTTTGTTATTTTTCAAGCTGCCTGTTATCAACCTTTGCAGCCAAAACTGACTTTGTTTTATCCTTTAATGATAGGTTCTGAAGATATTTGTTTTATTCCTGCATTACTAGAGATGTTGAAAGAAGACAGAAACTGTATTTTGCTTTCATGTAATTTTAATGGTTTACTATCATTTCTTTAAAAAATCTTCATGAAATTTTCGTAAGATTTGCAGCATTGACTTCAGTTTTACAGATGGGAGAAGAATTGTTGTCCTGTGAAAAGAGGATTCCCTTTTCATACATTTTGGTTTGTTTTAAATACATTTTAGTTACATACTAACAAACGGAAGCAGACTTTCAAAAACCCTTTGTCTTTTATGTATTACATCCAAGTTGGATGAAGTTGTGAGAAATAAATTATATTAACCCTCATCAATATTCCAATATTTTACTCTTTCATTTTTTAAATGTATGTTTAATGAAGATTTTTTAATCTAAATGTGGTAAAATATGTTTCATGAAGAAGATATTAGAAAGTCATGGACTTTTCACTACTTAAGCTCATTAATTTTTGCAACAACTGATACTTGAATTTATTTCAACCACATATATGAAATATAATATATTCAATACATCATTATTGTTATCTAAATATTTCACAATATACTTCTTGCCATTTATGGATTCAACTTGCCTGAAATGATATGTACCATCCTTTTGACCAAACCCAGAACCAGGGACAATGCTAATTCCTGTATTTTCTAGCAACTGGGAAGCATAGTACTCATCTGGGTGCATCTGTTTCTGTTTTGCAGTTTCTATTGCTTTGGATAGTAAACGTATCTGGAAATAATATACTGGGTATCAGTTTCTTAAATATAGCATTTAGACTTGAAAAAATTCAAAACTGTCCGAAAGATTGTATTTTTGTAGATTCCCTTTTTTGCCAAAAGTGAAAATTATACAAACGTGTTTTATTAAAATAAATTTTCAAGCAGAAGGAACAGATAAAAATAGTAATTGAAAGAAAACAGGATGTGAGAAAGGAGGTAATTAAGGAGGTACTTTAAGTTAAACAAGACATGAATAAAGAAAGTAATATGTTCTCTTGAGCTTCTTCCTTAAGAAATTCTGAAGAAGGAGATCTAAAACAACCAAGGATGACTAAGAGTGTTTAAAGAACTAAGACAAAATGTCTTCTTTAAGCTCAATAGGAATAATAGTGGCATAGGTTGGGGAATCTGGCTTCACACAGTGTGATCAAACAAATAGACAACAAAACAAAAACAGAACAAATGACCATACACAAACAAATTCATCATCATTATCATTGGGAAATTTATGCAAACTTAACCTTTTGGTTAGCCACTGCGGCTTGCAGCCCTCAGTTTATGCCACTGCCTTTTTTTATTTTAGAGTCACTTGAATCTAGCATATACTCCTTAACTCCACAGTGACTTTTAAGCCCTGCATTGTTGGGTAATTTTGAAGGTGTTATATACTTATTTCAACAATTAGTGGAAATAAATTCTATACAAAAAATATTTGAAGAATATATCATAACTGACCAGCAAAGAAATACGTAGAGGTCAATTAAGTGAACCTCAAAATCATTAATTTCAATACTCAATCCATTTTTTTGAATTAATAGATATATCCAAATCATAGTTAGGCTATAAGCATATTTGCACACATTTGTTATTGCGTTGTTTAAAGTATAAGTGTTATAAAGTATCAATAGAAATGTTACCCAAAGGACAAAAAATTGACAGCACTTTTGTTAATAAGCATTAAACTAACCTGAGGAAAAGCATACATTGCTCCTTGGATCACATTACAAGACATGCCTTCAATAGAGTTGAATGTGTTTACAGCAATTTCTGCATTTTCAATACGTGTTTTCAAAATTGAATCCCTTTCTCTAACAAACAACTCATGTGATGGACCTCCTGGCACAGGTGGTTTCACAACGCAATCCAGTGCTATCTAATAACAAGTAAGAAATTGTTGATTCATAAGACATGCCTGAGATTCATTAGTCTCAGTGCATTAACTTAGATAAAACAGTTACTTAACCTTGACATTACTGGAGTTGGAAGTTGATAATATAATTGGATTAGAATATTAGAGTGATTTTACAAAATGTTCCTCAAATAATCTACAAGCCAAATAGATGACACAGTTTTCCAACCTATTGGATTTGCACTGAGATATGGAAAAATTCACTATGCTTATTTGAGATATGAGGGAAAGTTTTTGTATTTTGACACCTGCCTAGGCTACTGACATCCTGTTTGACACGGATTGGCAAATTGCAAATTGATTCTTACATGAATATAAATATAATTGCTTTAATGCAAATATTAACACTATTACCAAATGCAAGACAGAACCTGCTGTTTCTGGGTTAGCGTCAGGCAATTTTGGCAATTAACTATGTTAAGTTGGATACCAACAGTCTCTAGCTTAGCTTTGCTTTGCTTTGATTTTCTTTGGCAAGTTATTTCAGAAACATTAAATGCATATCTGGTAGAGGCACCTAAAGAACTTGTGCCTAAGATGTTAAATTTTGGATTCTACAGCGGTTAAAGCATTTTAGTATTCTAATAACTGAGAAAAAAATATTTTAATCCTTTTTTAAATGTTCCAAACAAATTTTAATATTCCTAATGTTTAATTACACAACAACAAAAATTATGTGAGTCATGCAAGTAGAAAAAATATCCAAATTTGGGCATAATTGACTAAAACATACACAATTAGAAAAAAAACAATTTCTATGAAAGCAAGAAGGAAACAGGAAAAAAACCTCACTAATGCAGAACCCTGTGTCAAGTCTCTTATCCTACAAGACAATACTATTTAAGTAGTTAGGTTTCTTTAGATTTGGGAAATAAAACTTACCTGTCCAAGAACAGTAGGGCAAAGACTTGCTGTAATACTCTTCAAAAACATTGCTTGTACATCAGGTTGAAGGTTAATGACTTCCGCATAGGCACCACGCATTCCACATTCCCCCATATAGCCTATTGTAATATTCACATGAACATCATTACTTACTTTTTAACATTGCCTTTGCCTACAATACACAGTTTCTTTTTTAAAAATGTAAAAATGTCTTGGGAATATATGATTGATGTAACCTGTTAGACATTAAAACTACCTTGTGCTTATTAAATATTTACTACTAACTACCAATTTTGATCATCCTGATCATCTGATTGACTGATGCATTGTAAAGAAATAATACATTTATTTTGGGGGAAATATCTTACAATATGAGCCAAGAAATAGGTTAATTTCACTTTCTCAAATACACGGAATAGAGAAAATTATATAGGTACCTAACAAAAACGTAATGAAAAAATGGGAGCAACTGGATTTAACAATGGTACACCAACCTAATAAAACCTAATGAAAAAATGTATCTTGAGATTTTGACAGAAATATATTTTTGGGGTAACAAGTACAAAATCTGCCTCTCAGCCTATCAGTTTTGTGGTTGACTGTTCCATTTGTGAAAAATATTAGTGACTATACTATACACCAGACATTTTCCAGAATATTCTCTGATTGATCTGGTTTGATGACTGGCAAATTTGAAAGGAATCTTGTAATTTTAAGTAGAATTTAATATGAAGTTAACAACAGTTTCAAATATCACTTTTTTTTTCCTTTGAATTTCTTGTTTGAGGTGATGACAATGCACTTACAGATGTGGTATTACTATAATTTTTGTTAAAAACTATTTTTTTTTTAAATTGCAAGAGTTCAACTTCTTCAAACCCCTCCCACATCTTTATGACCGAAATATAAACTTTTAGATAGACAAAATGAATGAGAAAAGTGATATTTTCATTAAAACTTGTGGGTATTTAAAATTAACCTAATTTTTTCTAACTTCTCATGTACAATTTTATTACTGAAACTATAATGTGCCAGGAAAGTCTCTCTGCAGTGGCACCTTGCAGGTGCAAATGCTTGCAACTGAAATTATGTTTGTAGCAGGTGCTGCAGGTTGGAAACATAAATTGTGTCCACCACAATCATAATAGATGCTGGAAGTGTTGTACCCTTCACTTCTTTCTGAGGGATCTGGTTGCTTTCAACATAAATGGAGTTTTTAATAGGACGTTCGGATTTGGCTTGGTGCAGTGTGACTTTTCTTGCCCCAGTATTACTTTATTACTGAAAATATTTGAAACTTTTTTTAAAGTTTTTCAAAATAATTTTCAAATGAATATTTTCAAAACACTTTAATTTTTTATCTATCCAATCCAAGAAATGCAGTTCACTTGAACTTCAGTAAATTTTCATGTAAATTTTATTACATTACCTTTTGAAGAAGACATAAAACTAGCCAATTCCATTTTAGAATATGGTAGTCCCATTTCCATTAACACTTTTTTAAAAGAATGGAATTCACTATTACGATCAAATACATTCTGTTGATGTACCTAACACAAGAATCAAATGTTCTATAAAATTATCATACAATTCCATGAATTTCTGAATTCAATATCCAAGACTGCAACTTTGACCTTCTACATACCTCATCAGCAATAAGAATCAAACCCTCTTCATATGCAAAATTAATTATCTCTCGAATAGTCTGCTTGGTGAGAACCTGGCCTAGAAACAAAAGAACATTCTTGTTTTCAAATTATGATTTTTAAACTGTAGTAGTGGTGGGTGGGGGAGGGGGAAGGAGAGGGAACCATTTGGGCAGAGCCAGTGGTGCAGCAACACAGGATATCTTTTAGAATACAGCGCCTAATAAAACGACCTGGAAAGTCTTTTATGACCTAAAAATTGAAATGGAGATACCAATTGTGAGGATTAGGATATCAGCTCAAGAATGAGCAATAAAACAATCAGATGAGTAATACTGAACACAACTAATATTAAGAACAAAGACAGGTATATGGGAAAAAGAAAACATTAGCTACACAATGTACACTTGACAAACTGACGCAGACTGACGGGCGAACGTAATTCGGTACAGAGAGTTTCTCCTGAGCAGGAAAGAAGAGTACATGGGGACAAACTTAACAAGTGCCACTTGCATTCTAAATGTCTAACAGTAATAACTGGTACTTGTATTACGAATAACCAACATTAAAAAGGACAAAATTGTCAAAAACATTTATAACATATAGGCTTACTTTGATTTTAACAGTCATTTCACAGAAAACTAATTGAGTTTTTAATTCTTCTATATTGTATTGTAACAAAGAAGTGGAAAAAATATTTTGGTTCTTATTCAAATTTCTTATTAAGTTGTTAACACATTCACAAACTTCTAATTCAAAATTATTTAAAGTGAAGAAAATAACAAAATAATGGCATGGGATTCTTAATAATTATTGAAAAAAAATGTATGCATGCCCATTTACTCTAGTAATATGAGCGTATAAATGGCAACATCAATTCATATGGGGAATGGGGTGTCTAGCTTCCTATAATTCGTACAAAGAAAAATAAAAATTAAGTTGTGTATGTTCTTATCAAGATACGTATGTATTTACCAACACTTACAAATGCTGATTTCTTCAAGGAATCCACTTTTAATCTCAATCTGAGACATATACTCACCTTCACAACTATCCTTCTAATTACCAATCAGCCAACTTCTCTGACATATTGAGTGATTGAAAAATAGTTGCACTCTTAATGCCCTTTCTGTTCAGGGGCATTTAGGAAAAAGAATGAATGTTGGCAACATTGCAAACACAAAATTTTAGGATGCAGGTGAAAGAGGAAAAATTATACATCCACTAAAACATCAATTAAAAATTTACGTCTTCCTCAATGGGGGGGGGGGTATCAAACTCACACTAGTATATTCCAGATTTCAAAAATAGTCATTTAAATCTTCTGCCATTGTTGTGGAAAGCAAAAAGTGAAACTGATTCAACAATTACATAAATTCTCATTTCAGTACAGCACAAGAAGCAAGTGAATTGAAAGCAATATCAAGGTGGTGCTAAAGCAGTATCAAAGTGGTGCAACAACTAAAAAGTAGTTAACAAAACTACTACAGACACTGTTACAATAGGTTCTTACTCCTTAATGTGATCAACTTCTTAGGTATCTCAATGAAAAGTATTGAATTAGCAGTTTACCTGTAGGATTTCCTGGATTAATAACAACAAGAGCACGAGGTTTACATGTTCCTTTGGTATCATTCAATGCTCGCTTCAGTTCCTTTATTGATATGGCCCATCCATTGGATTCGTCTAAGTAGTAATTCATCTATAAGAGAGACATATCAATCAAATAAAGTCTTTCTTAGCTTTAGGATTCTTTACTTGCCAATGAAATGTTCTTACTTGTTGCATATTATTGAATTCTGCAATAACTGCAGGAAACAGAGGATAGTGAGGTATAGGTACCATAACACCTGTTTTTAGTCCGCATGTTTCACAATCCAGGAGTTGTAACACTGCCTATAAACATTAAAAAGCATCATAATTTGATTCAGAGTAACTTAGTTGAATGCAAATCGGTAGAAAAAGGAATTAAATTGAATTTATTTAATTTCAGGATATAAAAAAATTAGATGTCAAAATTACAGAAAAGGTGTTATTAGGTATCAATATATATTTCCCTGAATCTGAAGATAAGTTAATCTTTAATCTGAATTATTAGAAAGTATCCACCTCACCAGCAGTCTTATTAATTACGTGTCCAAAATTAAATAATCATAAGAAAACTAGTGGTACTAGTTTTCTATAATAATCATAAGAAAACTACAACATGGCACAGACCTTCCCATATTAGTTTTTCATTTCCTTTGGTCTTGGCAAGCTATTGCGTATTGCCACGTATTCTTGCCATCTCCATCTATCGCTGCTCAAAGTACACTTTTTGAAATTTTCTTAATTTTTTGGTTCCTTAATTATAGAATGAATATATTATTTTAAGAATATTAAAGAACAGTAAAACCTCGTTCTAAATGGCAATTTCCTTTGAAAAATTTGGAGTCGTTATTAAGAAAATGGCGCTTAAGCGCAACTGTTAATTAAAAATTTGATGCTCTTTTGCACAGAAAATTTTTCAGTTTTCAAAAATGTTCAATAGAAGTCAATTGAAGCACTTTAACACACAAATACACTAGTGTTCACAAATTGCTGGAAATGTTCGTATAAACGGTGATCTTTCCAAAAATTACAATTTTGTATTTTTTGTAAAAACAAACAAAATATACCAAAATTAACATTATGTCATATTAAAGAGTGTCCTTATCACAAGAAGTTCAAAAAGTTTGAAGGAAATATGTTGAGCCATTTATGACAAAATGGCATTGAGCATTTCTGAAAATGCTGGATTTTCAGCAAGTTTTCACAGAAAACTTGAATTTTCGAAAAACTGTATATGATGTTATTTAAAACACATGTACTCATAACTATAACAATGTGAACAAAATTCCTGTTATGTAAATATAAACTATGTGGGAGGCAAGTCAAGAAAAATACATTTTTGTAATTTTTGAAAAAACAAAAGAATAGAGCAATATAACGTTAATGTTATTTTATAGAGTACATTTAGCACTATTCCAACCAAAAGTTTAAAGAAAAAATTTGGAGCTGTATTTGAGTAAATCTTTTTGTAATTGTTTAAAATTGTATATATTGCACTCAATATTGTGTGAAAACTATTAAAAATTTAAAAAAAAAAAATGAACATGACTAATGAAAGAACTCACTCTGGCAAACAAACTTTACTTGATGGAAAAATCTATCTTCAGTTATGTAGTTGTAGGAAGACACCGCACAAAATACAACCTTTTGCAATTTTTAAAAATTCTTAGTTAACCATGAAAATCAGATCTATGCCATCTTTATACGTGTATTTTACCCTATTTGAGAAAATAGAGTAAAATACAATCTCCTGTTTTTGAGAAAATTTTGCAAAAGTCTGGGGGGCTTCATATAAAGTACCCCCCAATTTTGAAGTAAGTTTTTCAAAATCATGGTGTAATTCAGAACTTGTAATTCAGAATTTATTCTGTTGTAAATTGCAATTCAGATGTTATTCTATTGTTGCATTTTTTGCAGCATAGCTAGTCTTGTGTCTTTTCTTCACTGACAGGCTAAGCTGTGCTGGAAACTAAGGGCCTCTGTTCCAAAAACCACAGAAGACATTTTTTGCGTGTTTATTTATCAGAACTAAGTTATTTCATTGAGTTTTATAAAGAGTCCTGTAGTAGCCTGAAAAATTCTTGAAAATCAAGTTAACATTAAATAATGAAATTATTTTCTAAATGCCAATTATGTTCCCAAAAACATTAATTTCACTCTCAGTTTAAGTCATAATCAGTTTCTGGCATTTCATTAACCTCTTTGTCTGCATTATGGAGCAATCTTGAATTGTATTCAATATTGCGTTATTCCCTGAATTTAAGTACTCTACGAGAACTTTGTAACAAAAACAGTTTTGTAAATCTGTGAGAGTTTGTGGTTCTCGTGGTGATCAAAAGTCAGAATTCGAGGACATTCATACACACTCCAGATGAGTGTTCAGATGTTTGAAAAAAGATTGAAACTACAAAAAAAAAACAAACTTGGATTACAATATAATTCTAAATGCAAGTATAGAAATGAGAATAAATGCAGACAGGAAAGGGTGTGCAAGGATTTAAAAAGTTATCAAAAAATATATTTGATTCACTGATGCTCATAAAACTAGCATGCTTTCAAGTTCTATAAGCATTTAATTTATTTTGTCAAGCAGTAAAAACTTAAACAAAATATGTAGTAGAAATATTTATTAACTCTTCAGTCGTGGGAATGCATACACTGCACTAAACTACTATTTTCCTGTTTTGAAAAGAAACTGAAAATTTGTTCCAAATCCGAGCTGCACTATGGTGCATCAGCAACGAGAGGGGAGAAAATATGAAGAAACTTCAAATTTGTTGACTGTAGTCATGAAGATAATATTTCCAAAGCAATAGCTCTCATTACAATATCCTGAGGAAGTGAACATCACTCATTATGAAATGTAAGAGGTGATGAACATTACTTTAAACAAAATTATTTTCTTTGACTTGAGCTATAACAGTTAATTCTGACTTCCCAGATTTATTGTGTGGTTTTGTGGCATAAGCAATGTTAGGAAATTAAAACACATTGTGCATGCTATTCTGTTTCAAACCATAAGAGACATAATTCTGTAACTTTAATATTGTTCTTCTTAGAATAACCCAAGTGATACACTTAAAAACGCAAATTAAAATAGGAACATCATAAACAATAATGATTTTTTCTTTCTTCTTGAAAATTAAGAAAAAATAACATACCTTCCTCATGGCCGGGGTGGATGGAAAACCATTTCCTGGAAGAAGGGGGTGGGGCGTAAATATATAATTCGGACTCCCTCCCCCATAATTTCTTTGAAATGTGATGCGATCGATGAAGTGGCACATTTCGTGAATGAAGTAAAATAAAAAAAACTACTGGTGCTACAAATAGCACAAACTTTCCCATATTACTTTCCTATTTCCTTTGGTCTCGGCTAGCTACTCGGTCTTGCCTCCGTCTTGCTAGCTATCATCTATCGCTGCCCAGAGTACATTCTTTTTAATTTTCATAATTTTTCCGTTTTCTAAAAATAGGACCGCATCACTATATTATAATTTAGGAATATTAAATAACAGTAAAATCTCGTTCCAAATGGCAGTTCTCTTCGAAAATTTTGGAGCCGTTTTTAAAAATCCTGACGTTTAACCCCTACTGTAAATTCGAAATTTGAAGTTCTTTTTCACAGAACATTTTTTGTTTTCCCAAAACTTCATCCGAAGTCATTTGAAGCTCATTATCTCACAAATACAATTGTGTTTACAAATTGCTGGAATTGTGCATACCAACGACCTGAGATATTTCAAAATATTGAAAAAAAACAAACAACTAAATGGACACAACGTTATATTATAGAGTGTAATTATCAATACCCGTTTGAATAGTTTGAAGAAAAAATTGGGAGCTGTTGAGAAAATGGCGTACGAGCGTTTTGGAAAATGCGGAATTTTGTGGTAGTTTTCTCAGAAAACGGTTGAGTTTTCGAGAAACTTTATAGGACATTATTTAAAGCACATATAACTACAATAATATGAAAAAATTGCCGCTAATATAAATGTCAACGACAAGAGAGAATAGTCAAAAGATTACATAAAGAATAGGGCAATATGGCCTTTACGTCATCTTATAGAGTACATTTAGCACTCTCCCTACCAAACATTTAAAGAAAAAAGGAGCCTATTTGAAAAAATCTTGTTTTTGTACATTTTTTTTGTAATTGCACATATTGCTCGTAATATTGCACAAAAACTATTAAAATTTTCATAAAAAATGTACACTGCCTTAATGAAAGAACTCAATATGGAGAACAAATTTATTAGAAGAAAACATCTCACTCTTTAATTTTATAGTTGTTGGAAGACACCGAAAAAAATTAACCGCGCTACTTTTCTTGACCGATGGCTTGAAGAAATGCGGGTAGTTTGGGGTATTAGCTACAAAATCGGTCTCTAGAGTTTTTGAAGCAATGGCAACCTCTGTAAAATCAAAATCAAATCTACATTTCAATGTAATGCAATGTAAATTCATTCGTCAATTCGTTTTCCTGAAAGAACGAGTCTTGTTTTATTGTAAGGAATTCCTTTTTATAAACTGTTTTGGTCTAACGTAATGTTTTTTAATATATTTAAAATAATATAAATCAACCTTTAGCTCGAAAATCTGTGGAAAGTTGGTGAAAATATGTAAACAAATACAGTTTCGTAGAGTATGATAAATTTGTTTCCTTGAATGTTGTCTTTTTTACCTGGCGTTTTTGGGAAATTTAAAGGATTATTCCCTCTTTTAATCTATATTCTCCGTATCGTCGAAATACTTTCTCCATTGTAAGCAAAAGCTCGATCCAAAGCATTACTTAGAGACATCAAAATCTTGTTTCTAACTCGCACACCTTCGCAACTTGAATTTGAATTCTTCGCTATTATGAGCTCTCCCCACTTCTCAGGAGTTTGTGATGTCTCCTGTGAAGGGCTTGATCCTGCCTCAGTAATTTCTTTAGATTTTGGGAGAAAATTTCACAAACAGTTTTCGCCTTCAAAGGCAAATGCTTTCTGTTTCGCGCCAATGAAGATGTGTTGGAAATGTGGTCATCATTTCTCGCTGGGAGCTTTTTACCATCACGTTTATTATACCAGGGAGAAGAGAAGGTACGCTATTGATCAAGAAAAGTTGCAAGGGTAATAGGCGCTTCGGGAATTATGTACTACTGAAAATAAGCGAGTCTTTCAGAAACAGTACGAATATTTGTTGATGATAGTTCGATAGTGTAATTTTTACAAAATATCTCATGAATGCAGGAAAGTCCTCCTTGCTTTCTTCGTGTGTGTGTAATTGCCAAACAAAAATAGCTTTGAGTTGATAACTATGAGGCTTTATCTAACGAGTTTTTAACCTACGCGCGCTTTTAGGTTCAGGAAAATCATCACAATCAATTTTCGTCGCTCTGAGGAACAACTCTACTTACTCATTCGTGTGTTAATCGCCCATATCACTAAGCGCTCCTGCGACAAGAAAACAAAACCAGTTTTAATGGAACTATATGGCAGAATGGGAGAATCTCCTCCCTCGAATTAACATCTATTGGCTTCTGTTTAAACGAGGAGAACGCAACACGAGCGGTTAAACAGCTAACATGGCAAGGGTCAGACGTGTACAGAAATGCTGGAAGGTGAATCTTCAATTTAAGCTGATGGAAGCAATGGGAATTAAGAATTAGAAGATTCTCTTATCCCATCGCCAACACGTGCAATTTAAGTTGAATTTGAAGTCCTTTATCCAATTGTAACCTCTTTTGAAACATGCACGAGCCGAACCTGATCATGGTAATGGGACGTCATAAATTCAAAAACAACTGACAAGAAGAGTGGTGAGGACCATGAATCATCCCCATAAAATGTGTGAAATATGGTATACGAAGAGAACTACGTCAATAGATTATGACAATAAATTATAAAGCAGATACATGATAGGTTGTTAGAGAGGTTACACTATACTTTTATCCCAGTTGATGCACCTGCGCATACTAATATATCTTGCCAATTAGACGAGAATCCATCTCTTTCTTCAATGAACTCCGCTACTCGGCGGCGAACGATTTCAACGCCACAGGAATCTGAATAGGAGCCTGCAATATTTGAACGAGAAAATATTACGGAAGATAGAAATAAACATTTGAAATAATATTAATATTATAAATTGAAGCAATAAAATATTCTCAAAATGAGAATATTTATTTACTTAATTCATTTATTAATAATTGAGATAATTTTACATGAAAATGTAAATGTCATACTTAAACTTTAGAATTAAATTCACCTGCACTTCCTCCATTGCATCCAGCAAGAAGAAATTTTGCTCTTTCTTTAACATCATCAGGAAAGTTTGAATACTTTATCAGCTCAGGATAAGATACTAGGGCCAAAACCTAAAATGGATATAGGAATTTATGTTCGTTTTATAGATACACGAGTGTCGAGAAAAAATCTTTTCAATAACCAACCTGACGAGTAAATGTAATTGGGGGTTGTCCCATGGCTTGGCGATCTTCAGTAACAGCGTTGATGACTTCCCTGAATGGTTTCTTTGCTCCCTGAAAAAAATGTATGCATTTTACATCCATAAATGAGAACTACAGCAACAACAATAACAATAACACTTGACTTTTCAGGAAATCATTTATAGCGCAACATACTAAGTGTAGGCAACCAGCGTTACACGCGTGAATTGCAGCAGTGAATCTCTATACAGTATTTGAGTAAAAATGTCCTGAGTGTGCGGATGGGTGCGGTTCCGTCACTCGCGGCTAGACACCTTCTCGTGCACCAATCGAGACGTGAGGTGTCATTCGAGGCGTCTCGATCTCCTGATAATTTGCTTTCGGATCCGACCAGACGATTCAAAGAAATTTCCAACAACATGATTTTTGTATTTTTGGCGCTGCGATCTTAGTGATAATGCCAGGAATTAAATATACGCCTCCTAAATCGATCTATGTAAGTGGCGTTGATTAAACACTAGTACCCAAAGGCATTTCTTTGCTCAATACTCCATAATTTTCTTTCGCGACGTTAGCAACGCAGGTCTTGACATCTTTATGTGAACAATTGAATTACCAAGTAAATTGCGCTGCAGATTGATTTCAACTTAGATTCGAATTATCATATTTTTAAAAAGAAATTTGCGGAAACCAACGAACAGTATTGCCCCATAACTTATTAAACTTGAAGAATTCCAAGTGAATACGGGGAAAACAAGACTGTGAGTAATGCTAGAGAATGAATGAACTTTATATTCGATTTCTCACTATAACATTCTTACATAATAATAATAATAATAATAATAATAATAATAATAATAATAATAATGTCTTTATTAATGGCGAGGCTCAGGCCATAGGGCCTGCTACATAAGTGTACATTAAACGATTTTCAAATAAATGTGACCCACAACTTCTTCTTATTAATCTTAATGCTTTATTCTCATAAACATACAAAACAGTCTCCTTTTAATGTTGGATTTACAAGCTACCCTAGATTCGCATACAAAACGATTAATAGGCACGTATTCAACACAATTATGCCCGAGGCGGGACTCGAACCCGCCATCTTCTTGTCCAACGGTACTACTGCCTTACCGATCTTAGCCATCCGATCGGCATTTGTATTATTATTAAATTGTATTAAAATAATAATAATAATAATAATAATAATAATAATAATAATAATAATAATAAGTCTCCCAAAGCCCAGCTGGACTGCATTGTCCATCTTTCGGGTCAGGCCTTGTATCACATTTCCTTCTTCACGGCCTTTGTTGTTGCGTGTTTTTAATGTTTTTTCCCCATGATATCAACATTATTGGTATTTGTCTTCTCTCTCCTATCTTTCTCTCTTTTTTCCCTTTCTCGCCTTTCTCCTTTCTTTCCCTTTCTCTTCTCTCTCTTTCTTTCCCGTTTCTCCTTTCTCTCTCTTTCCTTCTGGCATCCTTTTTCCCTTTCCCTTCTCTCTCTTTTCTTCTCCCCTTTCTCCCTTTCTCCCTTCTTCTCCCTCTCCTTCTTTTCCTTCTTCCTTCTTCTCCCTTTCTCCGTTTCTTTCTCACTTTCTCCTCCCTTTCTTTCTCCTTTCTTTCCTTCCTCTTTCTTCTCCCTTTCTTTTCTCCTTTCTTTCTCCCTTGTATTCCATTCTTCTCCCCTTTCCCTTTTCCTTTTTTCCTTTCTTCTCCCTTTCTTCTGCTTCTTCCACTTTCTTTCTCCTTCTTTCTACCCTCTTTCCTCCTTTCTTCCATGCCTTCTTTCTCCCTTTCTTTCTCCCTTTTCTTTTCTCTTCTCGCTTTCTTTCTCTTTCCTCTTTCCCCTTTCTTCTACCTTTTTCTCCCTTCTTTCTACCTTTCTTCCCTTTCTTCGTCCCTTTCGTTCTTCTTTTTCTCCTTCTTTTCTCCTTGTTTCTCTTCTCTCCTTTCTTTCTCCTTCTCTGCTTCTTTCTCCCCTTTCTTTCTCCCTTTCTTTTCCTTATCTTCTCCTTCCCTTTCTTCTTTTCCTTTCTCCTCTCTCCTTTTTCTTCTCTTTCTTCCTTTTCCCTCTTTCTCCCTTCTTTCTCTTTCTTTCTCCCTTTCTTTCTTCCCTTTCTTTCTCCTTCTTTTCCCTTTTTTTCCCTTCCTCTCTTTCTTTCTCCTTTCTTTCTCCTCTTTCACTTTTTTTCCCTTCTTTCTCCCCTTTCTTTTCTCCCTTTCTTTCTCCCTTTCTTTCTCCTTTCTATTTCTCCGTTATATCTTTCTTTCTCACCTTTCTTCTCCCTTTTTCCCTTTTCTCCTTTCTTTCTCTTCTTTCCTTTCTATCCCTTTCTTTCTCCCTTTCTTCTCTCTTTCTTTCTCCTTTCTTTCGCTCCCTTTCTTTCTCCCTTTCTTTCTCCTTTTCTCTTCTTCTCCCTTTCTTTTCTCCCTTTTTCCTTTCTTCAATCCTTTCTTTCTCTTCTTTTCCCTTTCATTCTCCCTTTCTATCTCCTTTCCTTCTCTTTCTTTTCCCTTTCTTTCTCCCTTTACTATTCTTCCTTTGCTTTCTCCCTTTCTTTCTCCCTTTCTTTTCCTTTCTTTTCGCTTTTCTTTCCTTTCTTTCCTTCTTTCTCTTCCTTCTACCTTTTTTCCCTTTCTTTCTCTCTTTCCTTTCTTTTCCCTTTCTTTCTCCTTTCTTTCCCTTTCTTCTCCTTTTCTTCCCATTCTTCTCCCTTTCTTTCCCTTCATCTTTTTTTCTCCCTCTTTTCCCGTTTCATCTTCCACTCTTTCCTCTTACTCCACTTTCTTCTCCCTTTCCTTCTCCTTTCTTCTCCTTTCTTTCTCGCCTTTCTTTCTCCCTTTTTTCTCCCATTTTTCTTCTCCTCTTATCCCTTTCTTTCTCCCTGTCTCCTTTCTCCCTTTCTTTCTCCCATTTCTTTCTCCGCTTATCTTTCTCCCTTTCTTCTCCCTTTCTTATTCTCTTTCTCTCTCCTTTCTTGCTCCCTTTCTTTCTCCCTTTCTTTCTCCTTTCTTTCTCCCTTCTTTCTCCCTTGCTTTCTCCTTTCTTTCTCCCTTTCTTTCTCCTTCTTATCTCTCTTTCTTTCTCCTTTCTTCTCCCTTTTCTTTCTCCCATTCTTTCTCCCTTTCTTTTCTTTCTTTCTCACTTTCTTTCTCCCTATTCTTTTCCTTCTTTCTCCCTTTCTTTCTCCACTTTCTTTCTCCCTTTCTTTTCCCCTTTTCCCCGTTTCTCCCCTTTACTCACCCTTTTTTCCCCTTCA